CCACGGTGGGAGGAGACCGGACCTCCTTGCCTCCACCTCTTCGGGGCCGCCCGAGCCTGTCCGCTGCCTCCCCGTTGGCTCGAAGGTGGCAGGGGCGGGCCCTCCATGGCCCGCGCTCGGAGGTCCTGGGCCTGGGGCTCCTGCCGGCAGCTGCGACGGCAGCAACGATCCTCGGAGGGTACGGGGCCGAGGCACGGAAGCGGGAGGTGCGGGCCCTGAGAGGCTGCTGTGACCGCAGAGCATCCACGAGGCCAAGGCTGAGACAGGCAGGCCCTTTGCTTTGTTTTGTGTGGCGGGCCACCCAGGTGGTGGTGACCTCGGGACCTTGCTCAGCCTTGGGACCAGGGCTGTGGCCGTCTTCCGGAGGAAGGTGCACTCTGCAGGGGGGGACTGCCTGAGGCAGCTCGGTGCCCTGCCAGGGGCGTCTCCGTCCCTCTGTCTCCCGCGCAAGGATCCTCCCCAGAGGGGCTCCCCCACCCCTGCTCCGGGCTGCAAGGGTGGCCCCATCTCGTGGGCATGGGAGGCCGTGTTCCCAAGTCCCCCACAGCTGGGTCTGCATCCAGCTAAGCCCCAAATTCTCCTGACCCACCACAGTGGTGACAATGCCGGCAGAGAAGCCTGGCGGGGGGGGGGGGGGCTTCCCCTCCCCTGCATTTCCCCAGCAGCGCCCCCAGATTCCTCCCTGAGCTCCCGTTTGCTGGATCTCCCTGATTTGAGGGTGCATTTGATTGCGTTTCCCAAACACGCGTGTATCTGAAGCTGAGTGGCCAAGTCCTGGGTCTGTCGCTGGTAGGAGGACACGGGCCACACTGAAGGCTCCCTCCTGGCGACACGAGAGTGCCCGTGGCCGGCCTGGGGCCACACGGCGGTCCGTGGAAGAGCTGGGCTCAGGAGGCCGCCCTGAGCCAGAGCAGAAGCTGCCTGCCTTCCTCGGTGGCACGGAAGGGTGGTCCTCCCTCCCCAACGTGCCTGGGGCCCCGAGCTCCGGTCTGACCCTCCCCTCTTGGTGGCACCAGGCTGCGTGATCCCTGGGCCGAGTTTGGGACCAACAGGAACTGAACGGGACCATCTGGACAAAGCAGAGGGAAGCTCAGGGTGCTGGCAGGGACGGGGGTCCATCCCTCTGTGGTGGCAGGTGCCCGAAGGGTCTGTCTTGTCAGGGTGCTTTGACCCCTGGAAGTTCCCAGTGGGTGGAGCACACCCAAGGCCCTTACCCCAGGCTGTGCTCCTCAGGGGGACCAGGACCCTGCATCCTCAGGAGGCTCCTCCCAGCCGACTGTGGGCCTTCCTTCTTCTACCCCAGCCACTGAGGTCCCCAGGCGCCCTCCACCCCCCCTCTGCCTGCCCGCCCGCCCTCAGCCCTACAGCCCTTGGAGCCCATGGCCAGGCTTCTGTGGGGAGTCACTAGGCTGGGGCTCTGAAGGGACAGTTCGGGTCTGGGGCGGGAGAAGGGCAGCAGGCTTCCCGTCCCCATGGTTTTCTCTCTTCCAAAACTGGGTGCCCACCTGGCTGGCAGGGAAGCAAGGGCGACCTCGCCACCTGCTGTTGCAGACGGGCCTCCAGGTGACCCAAAATGATGTGCAGGGAGCCTCTTTCACCGACCCCCCGCCACAGCCCACCCTCAATAGAGAAGACCCAGGTATCAGGTCATCCAAATAAAGGTTGTGAATGGGACAAATTGCCACCTCTCTGGCCAGGCCCGTGCCGCCGCCTTCTTCTCCAGGGGCCCTGGCCCCGCAGGCCTCCACCCCTGCAGCCCTCCGCGGCCCTCCCAGGTGACTTCACCGCCGGCCCCCTCCTCTAAGGCACCACACCAGAAGAGGAGGCCTCCAGTTTTCTTTTACTTTATTGAGCTCAGGGAGGGTTTGTTTTTTTAACTTAGAGTGACAAGATGTGACAACACCAGGAACGAGACCATTTCTCTGAGCAGCCGGTGCTGACCAGTACAGTTAATCACACACAGGAAAGTGACAGTCATCTCCAGCCCGTGTCTCGGATTCTGTAGAAGCTCTGCTGCCTGGAAAACAGACTGCAAATAAATAAAGTGCATCGAGAGCCTGTCAGGCAGCCAGGGCCCAGCGCGGGCAGAGGGAAGGTGGGGGGTGGGGAGAAGCTCGCTAACTACTCAAGGCCAAACCGGTCAGAAAAGCAGTGGCAGGACCACAGGCCGAAGAAGGGCAGCCCCTGCCCAGTCCCTCGGGGGCTGTGCGGAGACTTCCGGGCCCCCGGGGCAGGGCAGGCACCGGCTGGGGCGCCCCGCAGGGCAGGGGTCTCGGGCCAGGGCCCTGAGGCTCCCCCCACCCCTCTCCCTGTGGGCAAGAGGTGTCACAGGCCCCAGGCAGCTCCAGCTGAGCCACAAGGCCGCAGCTGGGGAGCAGGTCACCCCGAGGGTGAGACGGGGCCTTGCAAGGGGCACATCTGTGGATCAGCCCCAAGGAGGCCCCGCGTGGCTCTCACACGCTGTCCCCGGACATCTGTGGATGGAGTCGGCAGGCTGGCAGGCTCCCAGAAGTGGTCCTGGGTGGAAAGGGCTGGGGTACAGGAGGCACCACCGGGACCGGGGATCCCAGGACACTTGGCACAAGGCAGGAAGCCATCACACCCTGTCTGTGGGAAGCTGCAGGGGACACATGCGGCCTCATCTGGCCTCGGTCCCCGGGGTGAGGCAGGCAGAACTCTTCCCTCAGGACGCGGCCTCCAGCGTGGCGGCTGAGGGGGGCAGGAGGTATGACACTGGGCCACCGTGTCCCTGAGGCTGGCCAGCCTGCTTGGGTTTTCAGTCCCAGGAATTCAGAGCCTGGGAGCCGAGAGCAACCAGTGACAGAGTGGCTGTGGGACCGGGGTCCTTCCTGGCCCCCCTCGGGAACCACGCCTGGCCATCCTGGTGCGCCAGGGAGCCGCACACCTGCGCCTCCAGGGCCAATTCCAGCCCATGCAGAGGAGGTTCTCCTGTGGGATCCTGGGCTTGGGGCCGGGGCGGGGGGCGAGCCCGGGGACAGACAGATGGGGTCGTGCGTGGGTCCCAGTCCCTTCACCCTCCTGGTTCCGTCCTGTCCCCAGCAGCCACGCCACCACCCCACCCCCACCCTGCCACCCAAACTGAGAGGCTTGTGCCACTCAACTGCCGAGGAGCCCTTGGTCCGGCCTGGGGTGGGGCGGCAGGGGAGGCCAGGCTCTGTGGGTAAAGACCTCCACTCCGCAAGGCGTTCTAGGACTCTCCCCTGTGTCCCTCGCAGCGCTGACGGTCTTCCCTGTGACCTCCCACACCACTCCAAGAAAAGCCAGGTCCCCACATTCCCTACCCTGCACCTGTCTCTCTCTCTCTCTCTCTCCTCCTAGATCCCCCAGGGGGGGCCTTGAGCTCCCCTTCCCCACCCCACCTGTGCCAGGTTTTCTCAGATTCAGCCCCACCCCTTCTTATCTGTAGGACAAGGACACATCTCTCCCTGTCCTGGAGCCAGCTTTTCCAAACATCAGGTGGGGAGAACAGAAGGCCCTCAAAGTGTTGCTAGGAGATGCAGAGCTGAGGTGACAGGGTGGCGTCCTTCCCCATGCCAGAAGGGGACCACTGGCTACCCCAGCCCTCGCGGCCTCTGCCTGGAAGGTCCTTTCTCTCCTCCTGGGCCAGGCCCTTTGCCCAGCCGCTCCCCAGGCAGCTCCCGGGCCAGGGGCGGCCCCTGGGCACGGATTTGAGTCTCTTTGACAAGGCCACGGAAGGGGTGGGTCACCATCTACAAACTCCGGGTCCTGAAAGACAGAAAGAGATGGGGACTTCACAGTGGCCTCCCCACGGAGAGTGGGGCCCCTTTGCCGAAGGGCTGCCTCCTCGCAAGCCGCTTCTCCACCCGCTCTCCCCACCCCAGCCTGAGAGCTGCCCTGGGCTCCAGGAGATCCCCATTTCCCCGGCTCCTCTGGGTGCACAGGGGCTGCTGCAGGCGGCATTCAGTGGCACCGGCAGGGCAGACGTGGGGTCCGGAGGGAGGGTGGCTGCGATGGCGCAACAGCGAGACTGTGGGGGCAGGGACAGGGCCGAGCGGCCTTCCCCCTCCGCGGGGTCTCCAAACGTCCAAGCGCCCAGCGCCAGAGGGCGCCCCCAGAGCCGGAGGGGGGCAGTGGGCACAGCAGGAGCAGGTCCAGAGCAGTCCCCCGGCCCCCAACACAGGGCGGGAGGCAGTTCTGCCACGGGCCGGGAGGGAGCTGCCCAGAGCCAAGGGGCCCGACCCGGGCTTTGGCCAAGAACACAACCGCCCTCCCTGTCTGGCCCCCCAAAGGGGTGAAGGGTGGCAGCATCTTTTCCTTCTAGAGCCTTCCCCGGCGCCTCCGCCAGCCCATTCCCCTCCACTCCCTGGGGTTCAGGCGGCAGCACCAGGGCCTCTGGGGAAAGCGGGGAGGGGACCGGCTGACCCTCCGAGACGCCCGGGCCGCCGCCGCCGCCCCTCACCCCCGTCTGGGAATGAGGACCGGGGAGTCTGGGGCGCCTGCGGCCCCCCGCCTGGGCAGCTCAGGGGCTGGCTTCCAGGGGTCCCGTCCACAGTTCCCCCTGTCACCGAGCTGTCATGGCAAGCGCCGCCGCCAGCCCGCACGCAGGTCCAGCCTCCGGCCTCTTACCTTGCGGACCCGGGCCAGTCAAGTCCCTGCTGCGGAATTTTTCCATGCGGCTTCCCGGGCTCTGGCCGACGTGAGGCAACAGGTCGGCCGCACTCAAATCGGGTTTTTTTCTTTTTTCTTTCTTCTCGAGCCCCACGGAAAGGGCCCGTTTGCAGTTTCTGTGCAATAGGTCACCGGGCGCGCCGCGGGCGGGCGGCTCGTGGCCGGGGCCGGGCCGGGTGGCTCGGCGGCCGGGTGGCCGGCGTCCTCCCGCGCAGGTCTAGGGCCCGGGGGCCCGGGCCGCCCCGCCTCCTGCCCCCGCCGCGTCCCGCCGGCCGTCCTCCATGCCGGCGCCCCTGCCCGTCGCGGCCCGGCGCGCGGGACCCTCCGGCCGGGGCTGCGGCGGCGCCCGCTCACTCGATCCGCACCTGCAGGCGGACGTTGAGCATCACCGAGGCCACCACGTAGAAGTAGGGGAAGTTCATGCGCAGCCGCCAGGCCAGGTCGAAGAAGGTGATCAGCGTGCGCGTGAGCCCCTTGCAGAAGGCGCCGTACGAGCCGCGGGCCGCCGCCGAGCGCGACAGCCGCACCACCAGGCCCGACAGGGCCGCCGCCGCCGCCGCCGCCGACAGAGCCGCCGACGCCGCCATGGGCGCGGGCCGGCGCAGGCCCCGCCGACCCAGGGGAGCGCGAGCGGCCGGGCAGGTGGACGCGAGGCCTGAGGCGCCCCGCCGGCCGCCGGTGCCCTCCCGCCCCGCCCCGCCCTCGGTCACCCCTTCCCTGGCCGGGCCGGGGTTGCAGCCTCCGCGGCCGCCGCCACCGCCACCGCCACCGCCACCGCCACCGCCCCTCCGGAGCAGCCTATGGAGAGCTCCGCCCCTCGCCGGCTGCCGGGGCGGCCGCCGCTAGCGTAACCCCGCCCCGAGTGTGGCCACGCCCCCTCCCGGGCGCCGCGGAGCGGCCCCGCCGACACGGGACCGCCCACGGGACCGCCTCGCCAGCAAGCCCCGCCTCCTCCGGGGCGCCCAAGGGCAGAGCCCGAGGGAAGAAGGGATTGGAAGGCGGTATCCCTAGGGATCGCTTTGGGGGCGTGTCCTTGAGCGGAGCGGGCGGCCCGAGTGTCTGGACCGCTCTCCGGATTCCGTGCAGACGGCCTGCCGGGAAGGCTCCGCCTGTTTACCTTATCCCCCTTCCCCACTGTCTCCACAGAAAACCCGGCCAGGCGACCCACTGTACCTTTCTTTAATTCGCATTTCTCTGCTAACTCGGCAGCACTGTATAGTTTCACCAAACGCACAGGCGCGTTTTTTTTTTTCTTTTTGGTATATTTGCTGGTCATGTGTATTTCTTTATTGAATTGCCCCATTGTCTTTCTTTTACCTGTAAGGGAGGAAAACTTTCCCTCTATAATATTCTATTTGTACACACCTCCTAGGTTATGAAATAGATCGACAACAGGCAGATTAACTGTAGGAAAGGTATACACATTTATTAATTTTTAATATTACCTGCACAGGGACATCACAGGAAAAAAAATGTGAACACCCAGAGAGGCAGTGAGATTTGAGAGCTTATATACCATCTTAATAGGGGAAGGGGAACGGAGATGTAGGCAATTTAGGGGAGACTAAGTGATTTTTAGGAAACACGAGTGGGTTCTTAGAATAGACAGGAGATATGACAGAGTTTGGTTGTGGTGTGGACTTCTCATTCCTCCCCCTTCCCCCTCCCCCCCGTAGTAAGAATCAATTTCCCTGTTTTTTCTTTTTAAGGTTTTATTTATTTATTTGACAGAGAGAGAGAGCACAAGCAGGGAGAGCGGCAGGCGTAGGGAGAAGCTGACTCCCTGGTGAGCACGGAGTCCGACATGGGGCTCCATTCTAGGACCCCAGCATCACCAACCGGTCCGAAGGCCGCTGAACAGGGAGCCCTACTCGGGCAGGATCCCAGGATCCTGGGATCATGACCTGAGCGGAAGGAAGATGCTTAACAGACTGAACCACCCAGGCGCCCCAGGAAGGCTTTTCTATAGAGGAAAGGGGGAGGCTGGGATGGCTTTTGGAAACAAAAAGTCCATTAGAGTAAATTCGGGGTTCCAAGTATAGTAGCTTTTCATTGGCTTGCGTTATGACTATCTGTCATTGGCTGGGCTGAAACACCTTTTGTTTTTCCTGCTGGGGTAGTAATAGCTAATGTAATGTCTTATTTGGAAGATATGCCTCTTCCTGTTGGGGTCTGCAATTTGTAAGGAATGGTAGGACCTAAGAGCTCCCCCTTCTGGTCTCCTGACTCCACTTTATTTTTATTTTTAATTTTTTTTAAAGATTTTATTTATTCAGAGTGAGACACATTGTGTCTCACATGTGAGACAGAGTGACAGAGTGAGACAGAGTGAGACACACTGACAGAGGGAACACAAGCAGGGGGAGTGGGAGAGGGAGAAGCAGGTTCCGGAGAGCAGGAAACCCCATGCGGGGCTCCATCCCAGGACCCTGGGGTCATGACCTGAGCCGAAGACAGAGGCTTAACGACTAAGCCTCCCAGGCACGCCTACATATAACTTTTAAAAAGCTGTCTGCAGGAGAGCATGGGTGGTTCGGTCCTTAAGCGTCTGCCTTGGGCTCAGGTCATGATTCCCGGGTCCTGGGATCGAGCCCCTCATCCGGCTCCCTGCTCTCCGGAAGCCTGCTTCTTCCTCTCCCACTCCCACTGCTTGTGTTCCTGCTCTTGCCGTCTCTCTCTGTCAAATAAATAAATAAAATCTTTAAAAAATATAAAATAAAAAAATAAAAAGCTGTCTGCAAGGGGTGCCTGGGTGGCTCGGTTGGTTAAGCAGCTGCCTTTGGCTCAGGCCATGATCTCAGGGTCCTGGGATCCAGTCCCATGTTGGGCTCCCTGCTCAGCAGGGAGCCTGCTTCTCCCTCTCCCTTTGCCTGCCATTCTGCCTACTTGCGCGCGCTCTCTCTCTCTGTCAAATAAACTCTTTAAAAGAAAAGAAAAAAGGGGCGCCTGGGTGGCTCAGTCATTAAGCGTCTGCCTTCGGCTCAGGTCATGATCCCGGGGTCCTGAGATCGAGCTCCGCGTCGGGCTCCCTGCTCCCCGGGAAGCCTGCTTCTCCCTCTCCCACTCCCCCTGCTTGTGTTCCCTCTCTCAATGTGTGTCTCTGTGAAATAAATAAATAAAATCTTTAAAAAAAATAAAAAGGTGCACATGTTTAAAAAAAAAAAACTGAAAATGTTCAATAGACCTAAATAGAAGTAAGATTTCTACACCTCACTGGAAGTGGTTTAAATTGTCAGTGCCAGTAGGCTATGCTCAGTTATTATGTGTAAAGCATACCATTTTCTTACAGCTGCTTTTTACCTTATTTTCTACCTCTCAGTCTTGGGAAAATAATGCTCTTATCCAATCTATTGCAAAAGGGGGAAAACTTTCACACTGCTGGATCTGTTCATGGTGTCAGAGACCCCTTGGTCTTACACATCACCAATGTGTCCTTAGTCCTAAATGCCACTTTCAATTATACGCGCAAGCTTATGGATGTTACCTCTCAAGTGACACTATTATGGCCCACTATCCCCATACCTTGTCTCCGTCTTTCTTCAGCCATAACTGTACTGGCTCAGTTAAATCACTCCAACTTTGCCAATTGTATAATCTTCACCACCTCATGCTTTTTTCCTTGTCTAAGTGTGTCCTGTCTCCCTGCGCCCAGGGGAAATACAAATTGGCTAATTCCTCTTTGCGGGATTTTTAGAAAGGACTCTTTGAGGATGGATGGCCCCTCACAGGATGTCATCCCAACTCCTCTGATTCCTGACTTGAAAGCGTCAATCAGGAAATTCTGGCTTGGGCGCCTGGGTGGCTCAGTCGTTGGGCGTCTGCCTTCGGCTCAGGTCACGATCCCGGGGTCCTGGGATCGAGCCCCGCATCGGGCTCCCTGCTCGGCGGGAGGCCTGCGTCTTCCTCTCCCACTCCCCCTGCTGTGTTCCCTCTTTCACTGTCTCTCTCTGTCAAATAAACAAATAAAATCTTTAAAAAAAAAAAAAAAGGAAATTCTGGCTCATAGATCTATCAATAACCAGACCCCAGCTAGAGTACTCGGAGCTCCACCTGGTTTCATTTTTGTCTGGCGCTGGATGGCTTTTGCCATGGGCATATGACTAGGTAGCTGGCCAATTGGAGGTCAGTGTTTATTGGGTTGGTTAGCCATCCGTGTCAAGATCCAAAATAAAGTAGAAGCTTCCCATTAGCCCATCCCATTAAACCTCCACAGTTGCCTTAAATGGGAACTTCCAGGAGATGTACGTGTCTCTGGGTTTGCCTCTGTAGGGAGAGCCTTTCTTCCTTGGGTCAGAGTAAATGCCAGTGAACACACGGTCAGAAATCTCTCCCTTACATTAGGAGAGGTAGCTGACTCCACAGCTAAAGCAGTAGCAGCTCAACAGCAATCACTTGACCCACTGGCTAAAGTAGTTTGGGATAATCATGCAGCCCTTGATCATCTACTTGTTGAACAACGAGGTGCTTGTGCCATAGCCAATACCACCTGCTACACTTGCAGAAATTCCTCTGGAGAAGTAGAAACCCAATTGCATAAAATGAGAGAACAAGCACATCGGCTACAGTGAATTTCATCTGACAATCCATGGTCCTTTGATCTCTTTAGCTGGTTACTTTCAGGTTGGGGCTCCAGGTTTAGAACCATTGCTCAAGCTGGATTTGTCATACTACTTTTAATTCTGCTTTGTTTTTAAGCTTTGTATATAAGCCTGATAAACCTTTGTAGAAACAATCTACCTAATAGGGTGATACTAGCCCAGCACTTTGAGACAATCTCCAATGCCTACAAACCTGATAAGATATACACTTTATTTTTTTTTAAGATTTTATTTATTTGTTTGAGAGAGAGACAGAGATAGCAGCAGAGAGCACAAGCCAGGGAGGAGGTGGAGAGAAGCAGGCTTGCAGGCTTCCTGCTGAGCAGGGAACCCTACCCAGGGTTCCAGCCCAGGACCCCGGGATCATGACCTGAGCCAAAGGCAGCCACCCAACCGACTGAGCCACCCAGGCGCCCCAAGATATACACTTTAGATGTGAATGCCTGAGAGCTCTCCCTCCTACCCTTTCTTATTATTAAGCGTGATCTCAACAGTTGCCCTCCGATGTGAGATATGGCAACCAGGGAAGGTCCTCTGTGGTACTAAGGGACAGCACCACTAAATGTAGAAAACCTGACTCTTGATCGGTGATGCTTTTGAGGGAAGATCTTGATCAAAAGGGGAAAATGTGAAAATGAATAAAGGTAACCTCATTTAAGACAGAGTGTGGAAGCCCTGAAAGGGGAGCTCTCACATACTACCACTTGTCAACAGCATTTTTGGCCCCCAACAGGCAGGAGCCTACTTTACTACTGCAGCAGGAGGAAGGAAGATTTCCTCCTGGCTCAGCAACAGCCCCACCAATGAGAAACTGCCACAACTCAGCCAATGAAAGGCCATCAAAACCCTGGACTCTCACTCTCCTCTAATGACTTTTCTTCAAAACCACCTGTCCCAGCTTCCTCTCCTCTATCAAAGAAAGCTTTTTGTTGTACTCTGTACTTGCTTACAAGTTCACCATGGTTCATGTGTCCTGAATTGCAATTGGTCTGCTATCCCCAAATCAACTCATTTTGCTGTTAAAATATTCAATATTCTTTTTTTTTCATTTAATATTCATAATGTGATGTCTGCCTGGTCCCCAAAATAAAAGTGATGCAATCCAAACTCCCTGCATCATGCTCCATCACCCGGCCCTCCTTACCTAGCCATCCTCATCTCCAGATCGTACTTAAAAGTGGCTCTCGGGCCCCAGAGTGAGTGCTTTGGCACAGTCGGCTGCCTTCCAAGAAGAGCAAGACACAGCCTATGGTTTGAGACCCATGTAGACGTGCAAGTTCGGCTTCTCCACAGCATCTGCGGTATCATTTAATACCAGACAGAAAGCCGCTGCTTAGAGCTGACCATTGATCTCCCCATGGAGTGGGTGTAGGGGTGAGGAGGTGGGGCTGATGGGGGCTGGTGGTGGAGGGCACTTATAGGCGAAGAAGAGAAAAGAATTCACGCAGCGAGGACTGGGGGCTGCACACCTGGGAGCCAGAGCCTGGGGGCCTGCCTCCAACCTTGGGGCAAGTTGCTGTGCCACCTTCCAAGACAGGCATCAGAAGCGCACAGAGACCCTCTAAGAGGTGCCAAACGAGGTCGTATTGGAAGTGATTTCTGGTGGGCCACCACATTTCCGCCCTCGCCGTGGTGGGAGGAGCCACGAAGTCCCGCCCTTCAGCTCCCAGCCTCTGGGGGGCTTGCACTGAGAGCACTACGCCGCCATTGGCTGGATGGTGGGCACGCGGCCCGTTAAGGCCCCTCGGGCGGCAGCCTGCGCCAAGGCTCGTGTAGGTACGTGGCTAGACGCCCAGCGGTGCAGCCGGGCAGGCGCAGTGTCTGAATAGCCGCTGTGCTCGGAGTGCGGCTGGGTGGCAGAGACTTGGACAGAAGCGAGCTTGGTGCTGTGTCTGGGGGGCCCAGGCTGCCCTAACGACGGGACCATGCTTCGGTTTCTTTCCAGGGCTCTTGCCTTCTTCCGGAGGAGGGTGGACTCGTCCGAGGCCGAGAGGGAGCAGCATATGAGGCTCTTGGAAGGTATTCATTTCGTCTTCTCCCTCCCAGGGGCCTGCACCTAAGGGTGCTCCCTTCTCCTGGTTCAGAGCCTCGGGGGCTCAGAAGGGGGTTGCATGGCCATGGCAGCGCCTCCTTGTGGGAAGAGGCATCCCGGAGTCCCTGAGCATACCCAGAACCCTCCTCCTGTCCAAAGGGATGGTGGTGTAGACAGAGAAGGCCCCGGGGTGGGGGGGGGGCTTGCATTTCCCCCAGTGCCTTTGGAACTTACATTGTGCATATGTTATGTAAATGTACAACAGATTCCTTCTCATATTTCCAGTAGTAGTGGATCCCCCTGATTTGAGGGTGCATTTGATTGCATTTCCCAAACACGCGTGTATCTGAAGCCAAGTGGTCAAGTCTTGGATCTGTCGCTGGTAGGAAGACATGGGCCACACTAAAGTGGCTCACCTTTGTGTCCTGAAATCCTGCCCCAGAGTCTGGCACTGAGAGGGTGACTCAGGGGACAGCAGGGCAGGCATCGCTGTGTCGGGGGCACCGTGAACACTGAGAAGGTTCGCTGGGGTGGACGGCGGGCCTGCTCTGAAGCATGGATCTAAGGAGCCCTTGTCTGTGCCGAGCACTGGGCTCAGGGCCAACCAGGCATTCCTGCCACGTGGTCCTGAGAAAACTCCGCAGGGAGGCGGGAGCTTCGTCGGGTCCCCGTTACAGCCGGGGCAGGGGGACACGTGCAGGGGAGAGCGGGCACCCGGCTGGTGTCCCCCAGACCCCGAGGCCCGGTAGCCATTCCCTACCGTGGGGCCCCCGCCTCTGGGGCACCTCCTTCTGCAGGGTGAGTGCGCGGGGGGCTCCGGAGCAGAGGGGGGTCCCGTCTGTGGTCGGCGTCATCCTCCCAGCAGCGCCCCGGCCTTCCTGGTGCCCGGATCGGTCCGCAGCTCCTCTGTCCGCGAGAGTGAGGCCCGCAGGGGAGGCCGAGTCTCAGCGGGGTGGGCCGCGGAGAGCTGCTGCTTAGCTTGAGCGGGAAGCTCACGCTGCTGCGTCCGTCAGCCATATTTATTTTAAAGATTTTATTTTTCTTTTGACAGAGAGAGAGCGAGCACAAGCAAGGGGAGGGGCAGAGACAGAGGGAGAAGCAGGGTCCCCGCCGAGCAGGGAGCCCGACGCGGGGCTCGATCCCGGGACCCGGGGATCACGACCCTAGCGGAAGGCAGACGCCCAACCGACTGAGCCGCCCAGGCACCCCTCTTAGCTGTATTTTTGCCAATGGGACAATACAGAAGAGTTTCTGACTTATTTTCATGAACCTAGGTGGGTCAGTTGTCACCCTTGTCCCTTCTATTTTCTTGTGTTTTATGATTTCACTTGACGAATTTGTCCCATTTTTAAAAAAGGTTTCAGGGGGCGTCTGGGTGGCTCAGTCGGTTAAGTGGCTGACTTCACCTCAGGTCCTGATCTCCGGGTCCTGGGATCAAGCCCCCAGTCGGGCCCCCTGCTCAGCAGAGTCTGCTTCTCCCTCTGCCTCTGCCCTTATCCACCACTCATGGGCACACTCTGTCTCAAATAAATCAAATCTTTATTTTATTTTTTTAAAGATTTTATTTATTTATTTGACAGAGAGAGAGAGCATAAAGCAGAGGGGGACACAGAGGGAAAGGGAGAAGCAGACTCCCCGCTGATCAGGTAGCCAGACATGGGGCTCAATCCCAAGACCCTGGGATCACGACCTGAGCCGAAGGCAGATGCTTAGCCGATTGAGCCACCCAGGCGCCCCTCAAATAAATCAAATCTTTAAATAAAAGTTTTCAGGATTTTTTTGGCTTCTGAAACCATAATCAATCATAATCAATGTTTCTCCCAGCCTCCCTGTCCATTTCTCCCAGCCTCATTTTGGGGAGGCACCTAAGGCGTTGTGGTTCATAATGGGCTCTGCAGGCTTACTCTCTAGGTTCAGATCCCAAATTATGGCTTAGTAGCTGTGTTTGTTCAGAAAAAAAAATAAACCGGAGTGGTTTGGATGCACATTTGGGCTAGATTTAAAGCCCCAGATCTCTTTATGTGCTTTTCTCTGGTGAGATGTTTGAGTAATCTCCAGGCGTTGCTGCCACTCTTGTTGATAATGATAAAATTCTGTAACAATGATGGCTGTTTAAAGTCTCTCTAGATGCAGAAACCATGACAACAACTACAGAGTTAGCTCTAACCTGTGTGAGGCATTCACAGTTTTAAGCAGTTGACATGTATGTGTCAGTTCGTAATTATAACAACCCTTTCCCCCCACCTTATTGAGACATAATTACGTATAACACTGTAAGTTTAAGGTGTGTATGATGACTTGTTATGTGTATATATTGTGAAATGATTGCACAATAAGGTTCATTAACACATCCATCACCTTATATAATTATCCTCTGCCTGTGTGTGTGTGTGTGTGTGTGTGGTGAGAACATTTAAGATCTACTCTCCTAGCCAGACATTAGTAATACCCTGGTTTTACAGATGGAAACACATTCTGGGAGGTTAAGAAATGTGCCCAGGGTTACATAGATGGTAAAGGGAAGAGCGCTGTTCACAGACAGGCAGTCTGGTTCCAGACTCTGCCTTCTCCAGGGGAGTGCCACTACCAAGGGCATTGGGCCACTGTGCCTTACAGAGAAATGGTGACATCAACCTTTCAACGGGAGCATTCTGTCTCCCAAACACGTAATCGCTATGCTCCTCTGTCACGGTCATCTGTATCTCAAACAAAGTCCAATTTCTTTCTCGATTTAGATCGTCGTCTACCATCTCTTCCTGCGGTAGGGCTTATTTCTCATGTGTAATTTGCTTGGGATATTAACTAATGAAACATTTTCTTTACTCATCTCTTAGGTGGCACCAGGTTAAAAACTGTACAAGGAGTTGTGACGAAGATCTGTAGTGATTATGGCTTGATTGATGAGTTGATCTACTTCAGTAGTGATGTTGTGACTAGCAATGTCTCTCTGAAAGTTGGACAAGAAGTCAATGTCATTGTGGGAGAAGATAAAACATACGGATTGAAAGCGATCAAAGTAAGATCAGTATGAGTTTGGGGACCGGCTTTATTCCTGGGGGGCTTTCAGCCTTGCTTCTGTTTATTCGGCCTCTCTGAGATGACCTGGTATGCGGATGTAGAGTGGAATTTGAAGTCCAATTCACTGCTTTGTGTGGGACACTTGTTCTTAGCTTTGTAGTGGTTTCTGTTCATAAAAGTATAAATTGTATATCTATTCTTCAGCTTTTCAAAATATTGTTAGCGATAATAATTATTAGAGTCTATATTATTCTGCAACTTCTTTTTTTCACCCAAGTAAAGGATTTTTGATTTTGTTGAAATGTAATTGCTAGGTTAAAGATTTTATTTTATTTATTTGAGACAGAGACAGAGAATGAGCAGGGGGGAGGAGGAGGCAGAGGGAGAGGGAGAAGCAGACTCCCCACTGAGCAGGAAGCCCAATGTGGGGCTCGATCCCAGGACCCTGAGATCATGACCTGAGCCGAAGGCAGATGCTTAACGACTGAGCCACCCAGGTGCCCCCATTTTTAGTAAATTTTACAGAGTCATGCAACCATCACCTCAGTGAAGATATTTACCATTTTATTTATTTATTTTAAGATTTTATTTCTTTATTTGACAGAGAAAGACACAGTGAGAGCAGGAACACAAGCAGGGGGAGTGGGAGAGGGAGAAGCAGGCTTCCCGACAAGCAGGGAGCCCGATGCGGGGCTCGATTCCAGGACCCGGGGATCATGACCTGAGCCGAAGGCAGCCGCTTAACGACTGAGCCCCCCAGGTGCCCTGATATTTACCATTTTAATAGATACCATCAAATTATGCTTCAGCTTTATTGTACCAATTGGCACTGTCAACAGCAGGCTGTGGAAACTGCCCGTTTGCCAATATTGACAAGGATGGAAATATTTCAGTCTTTGAAATCTTTGCCAATCTGAAAGCAAAGCAGTCTCACAATTTTATTTTGCATTTATTTAAGTGTTGAGGAGAGTACAGCAACATTTCTCTTCTTTGAGCTATTTCTACAGTAGGAACATTAGTGCTGTTTGTGTGTTGTGGAAATGAGAGCTTTGTTAGGAAATTCCTCATATGAACTTTATATTTAAAGATTTTATTTATTTATTTGACAAAGAGACAGAGCATAGCAGAGGGGGACATAGAGGGAAAGGGAGATGCGGGCTCCCCGCTGAGCAGGGACCTTCCCCCAACATGGAGCTCAATCCCAGGACCCCGGGATCATGACCTGACCCGAAGGCAGATGCTTAACTGACTGAGCCACCCAGGCGCCCCTCATATGCATGTTTTGCCAATATTTCCTCCAAGGCTGTCTTTTGACTTTGTGCAGTTTAATTTTTATATATTAGAATGTGTCCATCTTGTCCAGGTGAGCTGACTTGCCATTTTCTGAGATGTAGATGGTGGGGGGAATGCAGTTTTTTTTTCTGGGAAGTTCAGGATATGTTCAGTTTTGTCCATGCCAAGCTTGAGATACTGATGGGACACCATGTCTGTAACTTGGTGTATTGAGCTCAAGGACAGGAAACAGGAAGAGAGTGTTAACAGAGGAGGTTGAGATGGAGCCTCTCCAGGAGAGGGTGGTCACACAGAAGCCAGGCAAAGTTTTTCAATTGAGTCAAATGCTAAGAGGTTGAGTGATGGGAGCAGAGAAAATTGACCGTTGGATTTGACAGCCTGGAGGTTGCTGGTGATTTTAAGAGCAGTTTCAGAGGCATATTGGGGCTATAAGTCCTGATTGGAGAGCAGTGAGGAGCGCATGAGAGATGGGGGGGGTGAGTATAGATGATTCTTTAAATATCTTTTGCTGGGAGGAGGAGCAAAGAAACGAGACTGAAGGAGAAATAAGATCAAGGGAGGTTTGTGTGTGTGTTTTTTTTTTAAAGATAGGACTAAGAGTACACGTACAATGAGCAGTGAGTAATGCATAGAATTGAATCACTATATTGTATGCCTGAAACTCATATAACACTGTATATTAACTATACTGGAATTAAAAAACTAAAATAAAAATGAAGACAGCTACAAAACATTCCTGATGGCAATAAGAAGAGAATTGATTGAATGGAAAGCCAGACTGTGCTTCTGGATGGAAAAGATATTTAAAAACTTTTAGTTCTTGGGGCACCTGGGTAGCTCAGTCGTTAAGCGTCTGCCCTCGGCTCAGGTCATGGTCCCAGGGTCCTGGGATCGAGCCCCACATCGGGCTCCCTGCTCCGCGGGAAGCCTGCTTCTCCCTCTCCCACTCCCCCTGCTTGTGTTCCCTCTCTCGCTGTCTCTCTCTGTCAAATAAATAAATAAAATCTTTTAAAAAAAACCTTTTAGTTCTTAAGTTGGTCCATAAATTTAAGGTAAACTCAATAAAATTCGCAAAGATACTTATCAGAAAAAAAGATAGGAGAGTTTAGAGAATGTATGTTGATTCATTAGAAAGAAGAATTGTCAATGTAGGGGGAAGAGAAACAATAATATAGGGGCAAAGTCTACACAGAGGCAAGAGGGAATAGTACCATGTGCCCAGTTGGGGGAGGTCGGCCTTGGGTAAGCGGCTTGGTTGACCCTCCGTTATTGTAGGAGGGAAGGCAGAGAAAGCCAGGATAGGTGCCAGGAAGTTGATACAGGAGGTCTTGTCCAGTGGCCTTTATTTGCTCAGAGAAGATATCTGTGTTGACTACTTCTGCATTAATGAACATAAAATATTTCTGTAATTTAAAAAATAACATGCTGGGCGCCTGGGTGGCTCAGATGGTTAAGCGTCTGCCTTCGGCTCAGGTCATGATCCCGGGGTCCTGGGATCGAGTCCCGCATCGGGCTCCCTGCTCCTTGGGAGCCTGCTTCTCCCTCTGCTTCTCTCTCTCTCTCTCTCCTCCTCTGTCTCTCATGAATAAATAAATAAAATCTTAAAAAATAAATAAATAAAATAAAATAAAATAAAATAAAAATATTTAAAAAATAACATGCTGATGTTATAGTTGTGAGGTGTGGATAGATAGTTTCAGATTGTGAGAAGGCATGTTTACTCGGTATGGTGGTTAGTAGAGAGTTGGGGAACGGAGAGGTCAGGGGGTCTTATAGATCATCATTTGGATATTGACAGAAGTGGTGGTGGATACATAGTTGGAAGCTTGGTGCTTGATTCCTCACTGAAAATGAATGAGGGGGAAATGACCATGAGATTGGCATTGTCAGCTGGAAATGCATAGAGAAATGGAAATAGGCCGTGAATTAGGCTATTAAAAAGAAACAACACATGAAAATGAATTGACACCTCCATGGATCAAGTTCCCATTAGAAACTTTTGAACATGAAATTCCACTCCTAGGAGGTTATCCTACAGAAAGAAATTGGGCAAGTAGCAGTGTTTTAGGATATAAGCCAAATGTTCAACTATGTGGAGTTGAGTCAATAAATATGGCACTCCCATTCAATGGGATGCCCTACGAACCTTGAAAATAATGTTTCGGGGCCTCTGGGTGGCTCAGTCATTAAGCGTCTGCCTTCGGCTCAGGTCATGAACCCAGGGTCCTGGGATCGAGCCCCACATCGGGCTCCTTGCTCAGCGGGAAGCCTGCTTCTCCCTTTCCCTCTCCCCCTGCTTGTGTTCCCTCTCTCGCTGTCTCTCTGTCAAGTAAACAAAAATCTTTAAAAAAAAAAATGTTTCAACAGGGACACCTGGGTGGCTCAGTCAGTTAAGCATCTGCCTTTGGCTCAGGTCATTGTCCCAGGGTCCTGGGATCGAGCTCTGCATTGGGCTCCTTGCTTGGTGGGGAGCCTGCTTCTCCCTCTGCCTGCCGCCCCCTGCTTGTGCTCACCACCCTCTCTGACAAATAAATAAATAAAATCTTTTTTTAATAAATAAAATCTTTTTTTTTTCAAAGATTCTATTTATTTATTTGAGAGAGAGAGAGAATGAGAGATAGAGAGCATGAGAGGGAAGAGGGTCAGAGGGAGAAGCAGACTCCCTGCTGAGCAGGGAGCCCG